AAAAAAAATGAAAGGGAGATTGAAGCTGTCTGAGGCTGGGGGTGAGGGGGCCTGAAATCTGCTGCTTCCACACCTCCAGCCTGGATAATGCCTGCATTTACCTAACTTGCTTCTGCGTGCGTAAGGCTCCTGCATATTTAAAGGCTGGGTATTCAGGGATTATCTGTCGTGCTTTTTCTTTTCGTTCGGATCACGCAAGGCGCGGATGCTAGCCAGATGCATAACTGGAACAGAAGGCGGGGTTTTTTGGGTTTTTTTTGTTTGTTTGTCGCCCCCGGCCCCCGTTGCGTTCTTGCCTTCCCAAAAGCTTTACTAGGGCTACGCGTTGTGCTGGACCTTGCGTTCGGAGGGAGGCAACGTTACCATCCTGAGCGTGCAATTTTGTAAGTCCTGCGTCTGTAGGATCCTTGCTTGTTAACGCACACAGGCGCCTGGCTGAAAGGCACGCTATTCTTCCCCAATCAGTCCTTAGCAGTGAAGCAGGACGTCTTGAAGGAAGACGTCTGAAAGTCAGAACAGCGTGGTGAACGATTGCCAGTAGCAAGGGAAGAAAATATTAAAATTATAATTAACATTCAAGGAAAATATGATTGCAAAGTGCCTAAAGAGGCAATGGTAGATTAAAATTTCGTGTTTGTTAAATGTAATTTTCATCTTTGCCATGTATTTTTCTAGGAAAATCTAGGGAAAAAAAAAAGCACCGCAGAGTGGTGCCTAGCTCCACTTAATTACCTGTTCATTACAGATTTGCTGCTCTGCTACGTAAATTATATTTCAAAACAGAATCAAACTATTATATAGCTAATTAAAAAACTCACTCTACATGTTTGCTTTTGTAATCTTGATAATCTTCTCCCCCCACACCAGGAGATTAGTAGCAGGTATGTTGGTAAAATAAGTGAATAAGAGATCAAACTGATATATCAGAGAAAAGGAGTATATTGCTGCACAGCTTAATGATGCGCTAAGTTGGGTGACACATGGACTTCCATGTCCTGTTGACTTACGGACTCTTGTTCTTAATCTAGATAATTTTAATTTTTATTTCTCAAGTTAACTTAACTGAATTGAAAAGGTTTCTTGGTCTTTTTTTCCTCCCATGTTAAATCCTTAATCCTATTTTAAGTACCAGCAGCATTAATGGTAGTTAATAGTAATTCCCGCATGAGTACTTTGATTCAGAAAAATCAGAGGTTTAGGGGCTGGTATCACACTCCTAGTATTCTTTGTTGCAAATTATTTGCAGATGAGGTTAATTGAGCCATCTCACTCTCTGGTTTTCGTTCTGACATGTCGGTCACAAATTGAATCATAAACCCTTACAGTAATAATCAGCACATAGCCTTTAAGGACTATCCCTGATGAAACACAGTATGAAATCAACAGTTTCTCAAAGCCTGCTCTGAATTACTGTCTGTAGCGGAGCACAGTACAGTTTGTAGTGTTACTAACAAATTATTGCTTTAGTATAAATACCTACATAATTTTATTCTATTCTAATTCATGGATATGCTAATTTTGCAGTAATTGTCCGAAGAAGATTAGCTATTTTTCTGCAAGGTTTCATTTTAGCAAATTTCTTGGCTCAATAAATTATAGGATTTTCTTACAGGTAATTGTCATGGCAAAATTGCAAAACCATTACAGAAGTTAAGTGTAGAGACTTAAATGTTGCTCTTAGGCTTTGCAGTGCCAGAAAATTAGTTTCCCTTAATCCTGTGAAAAGGTAGGTATTCAAAAGCCGTAGTGATTGCAGCAAGTAATCTTTAACTCAATGGAAAACAATATAGGTGAAGCCAAATTTGATAGTTTTATAGCCGCTCTCCCTGCATAGTACCCACCATGAAAATTTGAATGAATATACTTGTGGCTTAAAAGCACGAGAAATCTGTCTTAAAATTCAAAATGGGAAAAAGGAAGAGGAAAGTGAAATGGAGCCGGTTCGTTCCTCTTGCTAAGTATATGTCTCTGCAGACATATTTTGGGTGTGCTCACAATATACAAGTAATGTGACAAGATATACTTTGAGCTATAAAATACGTAGATTTTCAGAGCTTTGGGGGGGAGGGGTAATATGGCCTCACACAAGTTATCTCGTGTATTAAATTGTGTTGTATAGCATTTACAAAGCAGAGGTCCTAACGAATCTCGTTTCGCTTGACCCCTGAAAGGAATCAACGCAGTGTGCACCGTGAATGTATGACCGTGTTGCAATATCTGTATTACTTTAAAGCGTCTTATAAGTGCTGTGCAACCTGTACAGCATGCAGCATCCATTAATGAGTGTTATAATTGAAAGAAGCAAGGTTTCTGGACAAAATGGCCTAAACTCTGCAGGCAGATTTTCTCCTGTGC